CAAACATTTTGAATTCAGACAAAGAATTAATCAGCGTTGATGGGTTCCTTTAAAACTTCCAAATTAAAGTATTTTTCACGTATGCTTTGGCTTGACGTGCCCGTTAGGTTTCAAATTTTTGTTTGGACGGTTCATTGATTGGATGATTGGAATATATTTGCATACTGCTTTGATTTTCCCACCAACCTTTGACCAGTAATTTGTGCTTGAAAATTGAACAATTAGAGGATATTATTTTTCTTATTTATTTGAACTTGATTCGATAAAAAATTTGTTCAAATAATTTATGTATTTTCTTATTTATTTACTCTTATCACTTTAATTTATGGAATTTATTGTTCAATCACTTATTAAAATTCATAGAAAATAATTATTTCAAATTTAAATATAGTATATTGAACTTAAGAAAAACTTCGTGTGACAAATATCAAAACTTTCCTGATGTGAAAACTTTCTATCAAGTCTGTGAAAACTTTCTTCACGTATAATCCCTTGCTTAAACCAACTTCTGTACTTGATTATGACACAATTAATCACCTGGTCATGGAAGAATTGTTGTCTCTCATGAAAAAAATGTATTTCATTTTTATGCTCTGAAGAGTATCATAGCTTATAAATTGAAGAGAGAGCTAAGGTTATTGGGTTCAGTATTTTTCTATTTTATGTTTTTTATTTTCCTGTATTTTTTTAATCTGGAGTTTATTGTCTTCCCTTGATTGCAATTACGTATGGTTCTTTTTGGATGTGTTAACTTTTAATTTCTGATTTCTTTTTCTCTTGACTTGAAGAGAATTAAGTAGAGATTTAATAAACATACCGGAGAAGTGCTCTTGATATACCAATCTCTTACACACATCTTGATTAGTTGAGGAATTCAATTTTCTTTTCATTTTAAAAATATTTTAATTTAATAATCTATTTTTTGTCACTTTTCACAGGAGCATTGAATTCAAACTGAAATTTTTGCTGAGCTACCTATCATAGAACAACTGTTGCTTATAATACAATTTTCAAGCATTAATGAAGAACTATTAGCCTTATTTGGTAGATATTATTATTCAGGTGCTTTAAGAGTCAAGGACCTCTTACACAAGAAGTGCAGGAAGGTGTGTCAATTGGGTTTATCGATGGTGGAGAGGACATTGACATCTCATTACATATGCAAATGCTTATGAATAGGTAATTGGAGTACTAACTAGTATAAAGCTTTATAATCAAGGTCAGCTCACTTTATACACACACACACACTAAACTTTGCTGCCCTTAAAAGGAGTTCTGTTTGCTTCTTTTATGCCTAGAAAACTTAAAATGCTGTATCACGATGGGCAAGGGCAAGGACAATAGCAGCTAATTAAGGTATTCAATCTTCTAATAAATTCAATTTTGGTATTCAATCTTCTAATAAATTCAATCTTTTGTAAACTAGTACAATGTGGTTCCTTTTGGCTCTCCATGTGTTTGAGAGAAGTACCCAATGTGGGTTTATTTCATAGTCAATCTATTATGTGCTCTCTATTATTAAAGATTTTTGTTTTCTAGATGGATCCTGAAGTTTTACTCCTTAAAACACCTTCAAGAATGAAAGCACGGTATTTGCAGACTCTTGGTACATCGAAGAAGAAAGAACTGGAACCTTTGAGAATATATAAATTGTGCTCTATATCTATATGATAAGTTTTTGATATATCAATATAAATATAATTTAAATTTCAAAACTAGTCTGACTGTTCATAAGTCTAATAATATGATTAATTTTTTTTATTATTATTATGGCAAGGAAAATGTGTTAGCTTTAATAAACTTAGTGAGTGAATTCTGTAACTAACACTCGTACCTCCCCAAAATTTCCATATAATGCAATAGTTGATAAGATACGTGTAATTTTTACAATATAACTAGAAAAATAAATTTACATGTAATTATTATAATAAAGATAAAGATTATGTAGATTCTTGCTTTTGTCCTTTTCATTTCCATCACATAAATCCAATCATGTATTCTATCATGTCCTCTTAGTGAGGAAATAGTTGCTGGAACTTCAATCTTTATAATACGAAAGCTCAGACTCCATTTGTGCCTAAGATGCCCTATCTTTTCTTTCACATGATCAAAGTGGGATGGTATCTTTAATGATCTAAATTTATAATCCACTCTTTAAAAATATCATCTACTATCACTAGGGCACAATTGGTGTTTTGAATTTGTGTATATGGTTTAATTGTTGGCCATCCTTTTCACAATTACACCCTCTAATAGTTTCTTTTAGCAGAATTTGTGTGCTTGTATGACCCTAGCTTATGCCGTTGAAATTGGTCGAGAAGAATACCAATCTATAGGACTCTCAACTATAAGTCTTATTTACTATGATCTACAATCAGTTCTTATTTGCACAATTTCTTCATCACAATTTGTTAGTGTGATTTGTTTTCAAGTCAATGGTGTATTGCACAATGTCCCATTCCTTTTATAGTACTTGGTTAGCTTTTTCTGCGTGCACATTGTAATCACTTACACTGTTTGTGCTTGCACGAGAGAATGTGTTACTACAAGTGGAGGGTGAATTTCGAAGGCTTAGCAATTATGGTGGTGCTGAGGTGGGAATATTACATCTCAATATCACCTTTTCCATCTTCTATAGGTTAATTTTTATGCTTATTTATTCATTGGCCATTTCTATTTAGATTGGTCCTTTCCATGGATCCGATTATTGTAAGACAAGGGTTAAAGTTAGAGTTCAATTAAATCTGCATGGCATTGTCAGTATTGAATAAGAAGTAAGAAAGAAGCCTTATTTTCTTCTATGTCCACTTTATGCTATTGTGATGTGCATATAAACTTTTTCATGGTTTTAGTTGATTGAAGATCAAGTTGATGATGGAAAGGGTAATGATCTTTCAAATGCTGAATCTATGGAATATGGATGTTAAGCATCGCACTGATGACAAGGCAGAAACAAATGGTGTTGAAGATAGTGATAATAGAAATGATGAATTTCCACGCAGAATTTGCAAGCAATATTGTCACCTCTCACTCCCCCTGGTCAAGAGCAAGTTTATTTCTCTTGTATGAGAATTATACAATCAAGTATTTTTGTCTCCCATTCATTTATGATTTTGTTTTTAATACTGTTATATCTTTGTTATCGACTGATTTTCACAATTTTATGGATAGCATGTCTATGTTTTTCTCTTTTTGGAGATGAATTGGTCATAGATCTCATTCATATAGATGCCAGAACTTTGAAGTGAGATAAATCTTAATTCATTATAGGCTCGAGAAACAAAGATAAAATGTGAATAAATAAATTATCTAAAAAGAAGGAAAATGATTGAATGGAAGAACTCTCTAAAATTTAGTTATCTCAAATGTGTTGATGTCAATAGTATTGATGATATTTGCTTCAAATTCTTTAATTCCAACCTGTGTAATGCACAGGAAACTGTCTAGTTTTATATATAATCCAATTGTGAAGTATATTAAGGACTGAGTTGAAAATTATTGTGTATTTTACGGTTCAAACATTTTTGAATTCAAACAAAGAATTAGCGTTGATGGGTTCTTTTAAAACTTCCAAATTAAAGTATTTCTCATGTGTGCTTTGGCTTGACGTGCCCGTTAGGTTTCAAATTTTTGTTTGGACGGTTCATTGATTGGATGATTGGAATATATTTGCATACTGCTTTGATTTTCCCACCAACCTTTGACCTGTAAGTTGTACTTGAAAATTGAACAATTAGAGGATATTATTTTCTAATTTATTTGAACTTGATTCGATAAAAAATTTGTTCAAATAATTTATGTATTTTCTTATTTATTTACTCTTATCACTTTAATTTATGGAATTGCTTGTTCAATCACTTAATCACTTATTAAAATTCTAGAAAATAATTATTTAAAATTTAAATATAGTATATTGTACTTAAGAAACACTTCGTATGACAAATATCAAATTTATACGAAATAGTAATAAAACAAAATTCAAGAGATAACAATTCCAGATTGGGACCAATTTGCATATTACTGAAACTAGATCAACATAATGGAGGAGCCATGCAAATCCACAATATAGTCATTTTGCAATGAAGTCCCTATGTTTACAAGTCAGTCCCTTTTTTCATTCTTAAATATTTGGATTCCTCTTAGTTCACCATCAAGGTCTTTAAATCGCTCAAGACCACTGTCCTAAAAGCCACTATAGAACATGTTTGATTACTTGTTTTTAGAACAATTTTCTTCTGAAAAATTTTATAAATTTTTTTTGAAAATGTGTTTTTTGTTATATGAAAACAAAAAAGTTAAAAGTGAAGAATTAGAAAACCATAACATTTTTTAAATGTTTTATTACTTTTTGTTTTGCAAAACTAGAAAAAAGACAAAAAAAATATCATACTTTTATTAATGACAATTATGTTAACAAAATAAATTATTATTTTATCCTTTATCTCACCAATTTAAATGTTTTCAAAAGAATGATTCGAATTTTTTTATTTCTAAAACTTGTTCCGAGAAACAATTTCATAGAATTATTTTAGGGAAAATGATAGTTAGGTTCAAATTAGGTCCCCCAACCAATTTCAAATGCAAATTTTAACATAGTTGAAGAATAAATAAATTTATTTTTCCTGTTAAAATTTGGAGTATATGTTGTAAATTCATCACAATAAAGTTGTAAAATTGAAAGTCAAACTAACAAATTCCTGAAGTTTGACACTTTGAAATTGGTCAAAATTTAATTTAAATTAATTAGTTTCCTTGGGACCCATCTGTCATTCTCCCATTGTTTTAAGAACATTAAAAAAAAAAAAAACAGAACCAAACAAACCCATAGTGACCAAAAGTCTAGGTGTAAAACATGGGATGTTACGACTATGAAAGACGAGCTTTTGCATAGGCATTGGTCCAAACATGGAAACAAACATAATATTATTAGGCGCTAATTACAACTTGAAATTAACTGTATCACCAAAGCTAAACCGCATTATGTATTAAACTGAATCCAATCACTTAACATTACTTGAAACAAATTGAAACCACTGGCTTTGAGGATTGTCCATACATGAAGAATTGGAATCTGCACAAATGCATTTTGCAGTCAAGATGGTTGACGAGTTAGCATCTTTTTGCATGCATAATTGGTTGCCTTGTGCATCTACGGTAGCCCAGTGCATGCCAGACTCTGTTATGGGTTTCCATGACGTTTGGTTTGTATTAGAGCAATCTTTTGTGAGCAACACTGGATTCCCATCTCCATTTGCCTTCAAACACTTGACTTTCCGTCTGCTCTGAAATTTGATCTGTGTCCCATTTAGACTCCACCCACTCACCCTTTTACATTCATTCACTTCCACTTGATCACCAAGCTTCCTACTTTTCATGCATTGACCAGTTTGTGGATGATAAAATATGCTTGACATGGCCTCCTTTGAGCTTGGATCTTTGATAGAGAAAATAGTTCAATTAAAAAAACTAAATAAGAATAATTATCTCCAAGTTGAAAGGGATATGCATATGAACAAATTTATATTTCATCTATTTAATATTATAAGACATTTTTAATTGAATCTCTCCCAAATGAATTAATTAAATGCCTTTAAAATTACAAACTATTTCCATATTTACCCTTTTTTAATAGTATATCTCAATTAGACATTGAAAGACCAAAATGCCTTATTTTTTTTAACAAACTAAATTATATGATAAAGAAATAGTTCAACAAGAAACTAAAAAAGGATAATTATCTTCAAGCTTGAGGATGATATGGATATGATAAAAAATAGGCTAAAGTATAACTTAAGTTTTTTTATTTTACACAACATTTCATTTTAATCCTATAATTTTATAAAATGTCTTTCTCATTTAGCCTAACACCATTAGTTTCATCACAAAATCTTTTTACATTTAACTTTTAAATATTGGCAAAACATTTTCAAATGTTGACATATTAAGTTTTTTTTAAATAATAATGATTGACACAATAAATAATTATTTGAAGCTACTTGATGTTAGAGTTAGAGAACTAAAAAAAAATACTTTATAAAATTAAAGGATGAAATTAAAACTTTAAATAAAGTTAGATGATCAAAAGTATGACAATAAATAGTTATCCTGATAGCAACGCCACCTCTCTCTCTTGGAAGAGGTTTATGGTTCGAACCCAAAAATATATGTTAACCTCTATATATATATATATATATATATGCACACACCTTGAAGTGTTTTGAGTACTAGCTGGAATCTGTTAGGGAACTCTGGGTAACTAGGTTTCTTCCATTGGAAGTCTACCAAACCATAAGACTCTCCTGGGTTGACATTGCCTTCTCTGAGATAATAACTACCTTGGAGTCCCCACCACCCCAACCTAAGTCATTCACAGCAAGGTACGCTAAAACACAAGTCAACCATCTTTCATCAGGTTCTGTTCTATTTGGTGACAATGGAATCCCATATTCAGTCATCAAAAGAGGAGCAGGATTAGAGCTAGTTGTTAGAAACCCAGCATGAGAGTTTAACTCATTGTTCACTTTCCCACAAAGATAGTTCGCTGATTGGTTGCTCCAATTTTTAGGCTCACCTGAAACAGTGTAAGCATGTACCTCGTATGCCAACTTATCCTTAAAAGTTAGGTTCAATGGCTTGTCCTTTAAAAAGCTCAGGTCATTGTCGTTGTAGAAACCTGAAATGAGGACTACCACGTTTGGGTTCCCTTGATGAACAGTTTGTGCTCCTTGGGTCATATTCCCATACCAAGAATTAGTGTTTTGAAGTGGACCTCGTAGCTCATTTCTCAAGCTCATTACCACCACCTAAATTACAAAATTTACATGAATTAGGAATATTCACAATTGAGTTACACGAAATCAATTTCAGTGCTCATCATCTCTGTAAGCACCACCGTGCTTATCAGAGGTGATGAGATCTAGACTATCTTGGTTAAAATCTGAACAGTCTAGATCTGAAGTCTATGACGAAATAGCAAGTATCCCTTACTATATAATGCGGGAAAGCTGTGATATCTTCAAAAGATAATTTTCTTGTATATCTTTTTGTTTAATTTGATAGATTGTCCATGATCAATTTTGTTTTTAAAATAGTTAAACTACTAAAAATTGGGCAATTATGGTCATTTAAATAAAAAAAACGAAGGGTTTGATAAAAGATTATCACATCCTCTACGGACGAGAGTTTTAATTCCTACAAGTTATTGAAAGTCTTGTTTGTTAGGCCTTCCTCTCAACACAATCCATCTTAACTCATGGATAAGATTTTTTCGTGATTTTGGCTTGTCCACTAAATCCTTAATCTACAGAAGCTAGGAGATGAACCTCACGTTCAAGCCAAAGGAATTTGCAATGTAAATGGCAACCACAACAACTGAATTGGGCGAGAATGAAAGGAAATCCTATTTGAAATACTATCAGGCATTAAATGTAGGCATCCTTTGTAACATGGCAAATTTTGGACCTAGAAGATCAAGAATATCCTTGAATTCAGTCCCAAAGGTTCCCTGAAATGGTGCTCATGAATTAAATCATAATTTAAAATTTTTTCTAAAGTAAAAGCGTAATATTTTCAGGGATTTTAAGAAAATGTTTGTCTATAATTGAGGAATGAACAAATTAAATGTAGACCATACTAAAAATTTTAAATCTAAATGATCATTTCATCACCTGATGAGCACCAAGGCATAGTGCTCATGAGGTGGGTGATAAGCACCAAAACCATACATGAGTTATGCGTACAAATACATGCACAAACTAAATCTATACGTACGATTAGTATATAACTCACATTGGGTTTGTCCTTCAATAACTGAGCGGCCATGGAAAGCCCTTGAAGCCATTCTTTGGGATCAAAACTGGTGTCTCCAAAGAAAGCATTACCATCATCAGGGGCACAACACCACTTAGGTTCACTGATATGGTTATCAGAAATGATCATTATGTTCTGAGCAGCAAGCTGATCCACGACATAAACATAAGCTTGAGGGTGAGTCATAGTGAGAACATCGTGGTTGTGTTCAGTGATGCCAGCTTTAGTATTTGCCAAACCAAGTGAATCAAGAGTTTGTTGAACAGTGTTGTTGGAGTAACGAGTGAACATGTAAGTGGCCCATGTGAGGCGCACGCAATTCAACTTCAGATTGTGCAATTGTAATATAATATGCTTTATGGGTTGCTTGTCTAATCCTTCTGCCAACATGACACTCATATGAGATGGCCAATTCGCGCATTGTAACTTCACATGTTGTCCTGTTTTAGAATCCACGATCCATCTGTTACTTACTGAGAGTGGAAGGCAACATATTTGGGAGGCTAATAAAGACAATAGAGAAATTGAAACGAGAAAAATCACTTGTGAATGATTTGCCATTCTTGTAGGTACAATAGGGTTTTTATTAAATTTTCTCAATATATAGCCTTTTGTTTTGTTTGCTTTTTTTTTTTTATTGTTTTGGGTAATTTCTCATTCTGGGGTTATAAGCACTAGTTTGATATGAGGATATACAATACAGAGGTGAGCTGGAGATCTAAAGTGAGGATAAAAACATCTAGGTTGAAGGAGAAAATTAACACCAGAATAGAAAGGAATTAAGGAATGAAGTTGAAAATTATAACTCTCCAAAGAGGAAAACAACCAATTTAAATAATGATCTTAGTGCTAATAATAATTTCTCGTCATCACCTTGATTTTATATTGCCATATTTATAATATTGTTCGTTTTCATATTATGGTGATCCTTATAAGGGGGAATTGCATGAACCTAATAATTCTCAAGCGCATGCATGTTTGACCAAAAGCTACGAGAGAGAAGCTTTTGAATTGGCATTAGTCCAAACACAAAAATAAACATACTATTATTAGGATTATAATTGCAAATTAATTGTATTGCTATAGCAAAATCCGAGTCCTTTGGCAAGAAATTAACCGATCTTTGAATTAATTCCAATGCAATATTAATTAACCTTAATCCAATCATTTCACATAGATTGAAACAAATTGAAACCACTCGCTCTAAGAATTATCCATACATGAAGGATTAGAATCTACGTAGCATTTAATGGTCAAGATAGTGGACAAGCTACTTACTTTTGTAAGAATAACTGATTGTCGTGTGCATCTATAATAGCCCATTGGGTCCCAGACTCTATAGTGGCTTTCCATGAACTTTGGTTTGTATTAGAGCAATCTATTGTGAACTACATTCCCTTCCCCATTTGCCTTTAAACGCTCAACTTTTTGTCCATTTAACAATTTAATTTGTGTTCCCTATAGACTCTACATGCTCATACCCTATTTCATACATGAAACTCGCACTTGATAATTGTGATTTCTATTTTTCATGGATTGACTAGATTGTAAATGATATGGTATGTTTGACATGCCAACCTTTGAGCTTGGCTCGCTCTTTGATGAAGAAACAAGGGTTAAGCTACATTTTTATCTTTAAATTATTCTCCAAGGAACATCCAATGTTCTAAATTATTTGTTAAAATAATTCTGCCCTTAAAGTAATTAAAACATAACATATTTACTCCTGATGCTAAATACACCAACATTGACTATTAAAAATGCTATCTGGGACTTATGTTTGACAAAAAATGCCACTTATCATGCTAAGTGGATCCAAATTAAGGTGTATTTTTGCTACTTTTTAATTACTTTAGGGGCAAAGAGCAAATAGTTTAGGACACTAGGATCTACTAAGAATATTCCAAGGACAAAAATGCATCTTAGCTTAGATTCACTTGGCATGACAAGTGGCACTTTTGGTCAAACTTAAGTCCCATTTAGCATTTTTAAAAATTAACGTTGGGGTATTTAACGTCAAGAGAAAATATGCTACGTTTTAATTACTTTAGGCATGGAATTGCAAATGACAAATAGTTTAGAATACTAGGTATTCCTCGGAGAATAGTTTAGGAATAAAAACACACCCTTACCCAAAGATACAATGTTAATAACAAACGAAAAAAAATAATTTTTGGTGGTGAATTTTGGTCGTTAAAAAAAAGTCACCACCAAAAGTCACCCCCAAAAATGAATTGGCAATGTTTAATAGTCACACCATCATGATATGACTTTGTTTTTTTTTGGTAATGAAAAAGTTTATTTGAGTTAGGTCCTGAGAGCTCATTAAGACTAGGGCATGGAGATACTTATAAATCACACACTAATAAAGTTCTTATATCAGCATCGATATTTGATTCAATAACCTTGTAAGTTATGGGCCAATTCTTTACCAATTAGATGAACCTTTGTGGTTGATATGACTTTTTTGACCAACAAGTTATATGACTTACCTAAAGGTAAGGATTGGGTATTGGAAGTATTATTAGTCATAATATGACTAAAAATAAAAAAAACGAGTTATATATTTATAACTAAACAAAAACTATTCAAAGTAAGATTTATTGTTTTCCCTTATATTCTTCTTAACTTAAATATATTGTAATTAAATGATTATAAATGTAGTGTTATTAAAAGATATATTTCATAGAGAAAATGACAGTTGCAGACCTTATAAAGAGACATTAGTGACAATTGAATCAAACTGTTGAAATAGTATTAAAAGACTTTTAATTATTGAAATAACTAATGGAAGGTCACTCATAAATTTAAAGAAAGTTAGACGTGAATTCATAGAAAGTCAATAGTGAAAAGATAAGTAGTCTCATAAATATATGCATCATCACTTGCAAATTAAAGGATAATCACTTTTGGATTTATGAAAATTTGTTATGAATATATATTCAGAAATAGGAGGGGTCTTTAAATCATAGTTTATAACTAAGACTATTCATATTCATTTGTTTGTTGTTACTACAAATTCACAAGTGACTTTCTTTAAATTTACAATGATTGTCCCTGAATCACAAGTGACTAGATATATATAAATCCACAAGATTACTTATTTATTCATAATTAAATTCTCATATATTGATAAGTGACCATCCTTAAATTCATAAGTAATAATGCATAAATTTATGAGACTATATATCCATTCATAATTTAACTTTTCAATGATTTACAATTGACATTATCCTTAAATCACAACTAACTTTTCTAAATTCATGAGTGATCTTCTCATAGCTATTTCAATAATTATTGTAATTAATTGAAATATAATTCTATTTTTCTTTGTGTGTTTTATTGATAAGGCTCAATTACATATATAGATGGAGGGAAGAGAGAATAATTCTAATGAGATCCCTAAACTCTCTCTTATGAAATAAAAATCTAATAATAAAAACTAATTACAAGACCAATAAGGGAAAGTAGACATTGCTAGCCTAAAAGGAAATTTAAGTTTGTGTATTAGCAGGTCTGGGCCTAATATAAGAGGAGGCCCACATCTAACACTCCCCCTCAAGCTGTGAGTAGATGTTGATCATTCCCAACTTGCTTTTAAATGCTTCAAATTTTTTTTGAGTTAGTGCTTTAGTCATCACATATGTAATTTGCTGACCTGAAGGGATATATATGACAGATCAATCAATTCTACATCCAATTTTTCTTTGATGAAGTTTTGTCAATCTTCACATGCTTTGCGTGATCATGGTGTATAGGGTTATCTATGATCTTGATTGCTGACATGTTATCACACCATGCTTTAATTGGTCCAATTGTCTCAATCTTCAATTCCTTTAGATGTCCAACAATCCACATTCCTTCACAAGTTCCTAAGGCAAGTACCCTATCTTCAGACTTAGCAAAGCTTCTTGAAACCACCGGCTGCTTCTTCCTTCTCTAGGTCATCAAGTTACCCTACACATATGAGTAGTACCTTGTAGTGGATCGTCTATCCATTTTGAACCATTCCAATCAGCATCTGTGAATAACTCTATGCCTTTAGTATCACCTTTTGTGAAAAACAAACCCAAGCCTAGGGTCTTCTTTAGATATTTGAGTATTCGGTAGACAGCAACCATATATTCTTTTTTAAGATAACTTGAGAATTGACTTACCATACTCATAGGAAAGCAGATGTCAAGTTGAGTGTGTGATAAGTAAATCAACTTGCCTACCAATTTTTTATATCTTTCTTTATTTATTGCTACACCATCAGCTCTTATGCTTAGTTTTTGATTTAGCTCCATTAGAATGTTTGGAAGCTTGGTGCCTAACATCCTTGTTTCTCATCTACTTGGAATTACTTGTATCCCCAAGCTTTAATGGCTTGAGTAAATTTCTTAAAACATGCTCTTGGTGATTATTTAAACCCATATAGAGACTTGATTAACCTTCAAATCTTGTGAGAATTATTAAAGTCTCGTAATCCTGAAGGAATTTTCATATAAACTTCTTCTTTAAGATCACCATTGAGGAAGGTATTCTTAACATCTAGTTGATGAAAAGGCCAATCTAAATTGGCAGCAAGAGATAATAAAAATTTTACATAGTTAATTTTGGCAATAGGGGCAAAAGTTTCATGGTAATCAATACCATAAGTTTGGGTAAATCCTTGAGCCACCAATCGGGCCTTATACTTGTTCACACTCCTATCAAGATTATACTTTATTATAAAAGCCCATTTACTACTCACAATTTATTTCCCTTTAGGTAACTTAGTTATTTCTCAAGTTTTATTTTTATATAGGGTTCTTAATTCTTCTCTTATAACCTTTTTCCATTTAGGGTCAGTGACAGCTTCTTTAAATTTTTGGGGAGTTTTTTCTTTCTTAATATTAGCTATAAAGGTCTTTATATGAGAGGATAGTTTATTGTATGAAACATACTTGGAAATAGGATATCTAGTGCAACTTCTTTTCCTTTTTCTCAAAGCAATTGGCCAATGTAAATCCTCAAGACTCTCCTCAGGCATGGAATCATGGTTTTGCATTAGCATGGAAACAGGATCTTCTTCACTTTGGTGCTGTTCAATAGGACTTTATGGCTCATCCACTTGAGTTTCAGAATTAAGAAGCATATTTAGTGGCTTAAAGGGGTTTGTATCATGAAATTTGGATCTATTTAATGAGTTTTCATAGTTTGGTGAACTTGTTTCAACATTTTCAAGGCTGTTCTATGGTTCAAACTCAGAATTATTTGAGTCTAAATTGGTGGAAGAGTTATTGGTGGAGGGATATGGTGATATGTGGGGTTTAGGAGCCTATCTAAGGTGTTGTCTAGGTTGATAATCATTCTTATCGAAGCAAATTGACCATTTACTTCTCTTGATCTCTCGCTGAATGGGAGATTTGTTAAAAAAGAATTGATTTTCAATAGATTTGACATTCATGGTGATATATATCTAGTTTGTAATAGGGGAATAACACTTATACCTTTTTTGGGTAGAAGAATAGCCTAAGAAAACACACTTAATGGCACATGTAATGACCATAAATTTTAAATCAAATAATTATCTCTCAATTGATATTTTATTTATTTATTTTAGTTTTATGACTAATGGGAGTAGTAGCCTAGTGAACTCTACTAGATGTTTACCTAAAAGGCTAAAGTTTGAATCTTATATAAGTCAAAGGCTAGTTTTATTTTGTTTTATATGGGGAAGTTACTTAAGTTCCCTTTCCGCTTATTATATAAAATAATAATAATAACAATAATAAATAAATATATTATAATAATAATAATAAAATTCTAATGGGGTCTTTAGTTGTAATTTTCCTA